CGGCCGACGCCGGACGCCGCCACCGCGCAGCCTCGGGATGCACGTGGCAGTGTACGCCCTGAGGGGCTCGGCGTGGTGGACGTACATCTCGGCCTCCATTCCACGGCGAGCTCGAGCTTGGTTAGCTCTTCGCTGTTAGCTAGCTAAGAAAGATTAGCCCAACTGGTGTGTGCTTGCTTGTCTAACTGAATGTACGTTTAGATGAGGGCCGGTGTTATATATATACACACAAAGATGAGCACCATTTGCATCTTACGTCTCATTTAAAATGGAGATGGTCTTGTCTCACCCTGCAACTTGTTGATCCACATGTTGCATGCAACCATGCACATCCCTTATTCTCGGGAAGGAGAACGCGATTTTGCTTATTATCTTGGCGCTTCAGAAAATTGTGACAACATATGATTGGATCTTCTTATGCAAAATCTGAAGAATTAAACAAAGGTGGTCAAAGTAACTGAACATTATATTGTTTTTTTTTCAAAGGAACCGATGTTTTGTATTAATCGAACCACCTGCATTACAAGAACATCCACCCCAAAAAAAATTACAGCCCATTCATCGGGACGTCATCCGTCCTCCCTCTCCATCATGAACATGTCGATGGCCAGCTGATATTGCTACCGCTGCGTAATCGCCGGAACAAGCAAGTAGCATCCACATAGGCAGCTAGGATTCACCGATCTCTACCCAAAAGTACCGGGGATGTTGAGCTCGAAGGATCCATGGCCCGGAGAAGAAGATGACATTGGATCAATCACACCTACACTTTCGCTTAAGTCGAAGGAATAACCAAATCGGGGACATTATTGCTGGAGCACCACCGGCCTCTCGAAGACATAACCAGCTCCCCTTGCTTCTACAGAGGAAAAGGCAATAAACTGTCCACCCGGTCTCATCGCTAGATCTAACGACGTACCCACCGTTGAAGCCAGAGGAGACCTTATTGAGCACCACCGTTCAACTACTGGAAGGGCTGAAGCAACGAATATTGAAGACCTACATGTCCAACCAATCTATTTTCGACAATACACGCACTGCCGAGGCTGGAGAGGAAGTCAGAGGAACCATTACTGAACGTCGCCTTACCACCACCGGAAGGGACTAGCAATGGACAAAGATCTATAAAAGGCCCCACCAGTAGATCATGACCTCCCCGCTCACTCCACTAGTGTAGCCGGGAAGGAGGAAGAGGTCGGCGGGGCGATGAGCGGCGGCAGAGTGTCGAGAGAAGGTTTCCCTACAGAGCTTTTGCATGTTCTTTAACATTGCATCTACTTAACTTCACTAATATAGTCCCTTCGTTCACTATTATAACTTGTTCTAACATTTTTCTGATTTAGATGTATGTAGACGCATTTTAGTGTATTTGTTCATTATTTTAGTCGGTACGTAGTCCATATTAAAATATCCAAAACTTTTTATATTTGCGAACGGAGGGAGTTATAGAGAGAGCAAATTAAGAAGCTTTTTGATGTGTTACAGGATTACAAATAATCTTTCTGGCAAAAAGTAGAGGTCACAAGTAATTTGTAAGGATATGACAGCAACCAAAAAAAGCAAGAGCCCAATTAATGATGTATAAGGAGATTGCATATGTTTCGGCTGGTTGGTGGCTTTCTAGCAGATTTGATTCAGAAAATCAGCGATGAGATATCTAGATTCTAGGAGATATGTGTGCGCGGTTTGTCTTGTGCACAGCTCACGAAATAAACCATCCATGCATGCATGTGAGTGCGATGCAAGGCCAAACCAGATAGCAACTGCTCTCTATTTGGAGGATTTGATTCTTTTTTTTCTTTTTGACGCGGAGGATTTGATTCTTGATCGCCTTGTTAACTTGGCCCCTGTCTAATTGCCACGCCGACCACCAATTAACTAAAGTTATGCTAGGGACCTCCAGGACTTGCCCTTGGTACGTAGGCCGAACCCAGCTGTGCACTAACGGGCTGCCGGCTACAAGTGCTGGGAAGCAAAGTTCAAAAAAAAGTACTCCCTCCGTCCTAAAATATAAAATCATTTTTTACACTATCGTAGTGTTAAAAAAGATCTTATATTTTGGGATGGAGGAAGTACCTGGGAACCAAGCGACGAGGAAGCAATGCAGTAGGATCACCACAACGACACGGCTTTTCCCTGGCATCCTCTCTCTCTTCCTCATCTCCCATCTTCTTCCTACTTAGAACTTCTCTGATGCATCGAGGCTTGTAACTTGAATTCATGCTCAGGAGAAGTGAATTAGTAGTTGGGATCCTAGCAGTCACTATCAGATGTGCGTGTTAGCTAATAAATTAGATATTGGAACATAAACTTTATATATTCTTCTATGCCAGATACTGAATGTGAGTTGCAATATATGTTTCACCGAATCCTATTTTTACCATACGATGCATCATGGCCTTCCAAATTGCATCAGAATTGTACAAAGCGATTTGTTTTTACATGAATGCTACCAAAGTATTTTTTTCAGTTGAAACACATTTTTCGTTGCCAATCCCAGCCCAAGAGAGCAACTAAGAGAAGTTAATTGATGTAATGGTCATGATAGTGGCCTCAAATCACTATGTCTAAAGCTTGTTGCTAACTGATATAGAAGATTCATGGCAAGGTGACTTTTGAACATGTCTAAAAGCCAAAAGACTTCCAATATTGATTTTTTTTCCGCCTGGCTGGTTAAGATTGACATGCCCAATGGGGCAGGGATTTCAGCCGAAGAAGGTGCTGATACTGGAGTGTGGCTCGCTATATTACCCTGCGAACAAGCTGCAATTAGAATTATCTTTGTCGCCAAATAAGTTTTCAAGTTGATCAATATTTTCCTAGATTTTGCTCGTGGCTACAAGTCGGACAACGGCACTTCTGAATACGAAGACCATTCCTACTAAAATCTCACCAAAAATAGAACGACCAAGCCAACAAGTAATCTGGCCCATAAAAAACTACAACCCAGAAGCAAACAAATGCTCAATTGAGCAATTGTATGAGAAAAAAGACACGACAAGGCGTGGGACCACTTCTAGTATTTTCATATAGCATACTCCATTATGCATTCCATGCATTTCCATCATTTGTGTTAGTATGTTACTGATTTCTGCTCCCTGATGTCTTTCCTGGCCGTATGCTTTCTTATCGGTAGAGTTCGACAACGAGGAACTCCCAAGGTTAATTTTCATTGGTATCAAGAGGTTGTACAGCCAGGCAAGCATCCACTTGCTGGCCTTCATCTCATGTTTTACTAATGTTGAAAGGTTATGCTATCTTGTCTTCTGTTCTTGTGGGTGATCAGGTTATACTTTCCTATGCAACATCCATGCTTAGCTTTGTGTGACATGCCTAGGAGTTCCTTGCTTTTCATGATCAGTGGGTCATGATATTAATTTTGACTAATCAACTACGGAACCAATAAAGTGAGTTCTGAGCGACGGTAGTGTATTACCGGTTGGTGGTGGTGGCAATTTTTGGCGGCGGGTTCACATGTTTTGGTGGCTGCCATCATGAACCGATCATAGTACATGCTTTTATCCGCTCTCATGTATGATTGGCCTTCGAGACGTTCGTTTGTAGATGCCTTAATTCCCCCCTTTGGAGTGTGTGTGTGTGTGTTGTGATATTCAATTTGTTTAAGCATGCCATGCACAATGCATGCATGATATGAAGTAAATGGTATGTGTTCGTAGAGTCGGGCTTTGCTAGTATTCGAAGGGAACGGTTGTTGAGCAATATGGCACATCGGTGAAATCCTGAGTATGCATGTGGATGCTAGTTACCATCATTATAGGAAGTATTTATACACCTGGTCATGGTGGGGCCATAGGGCAGTGGGCTTGCTCAAGGACATGTTCCTACACCTACTTTTGTATGTCAAACTCTCAAACAAAAGTGTCTCAGGGTTTAAGTCAATGCTTTGGTGGGGCAACCCGTCGATCGGTTTCGACCATTGTGAATTCATACGCATGGTTTCATGAGATGTTTGTTGCGGTTATGGTCATTGTTGTAGTTTGCCGATTGCAGATCTGATCGCTTCGGGTTTTCATTTTTCCTCCATATGCATAGATTTGGTTTTATATGACTCTTATACTTGCCGGCAATTACATATCTTCTTAATGCTCTATTTTACGCTACTTCCTCTAATTCATATCAGTGACAATTAATATGGATCGAATGAAGTAATAAAATTCACCTTTTGTCAAAAACATCTGACACTAATTCACGTGGCAGATGCTCATCGGCAACACGCGTTCAAGAATAGGGAAAGTAGCATAAAGCCACATGCGGGCCAGCAAGAATGTCTATGGTTCCTTAGCCATGAATTAACGGTCGTTCTCCGCGTGCTTTGCGCTTTTTCAGGGTTAAGCAACCTGCGCGGCTTCTCTTCCCACTCCGGGCCGGACTAGTAACAATTTTCAGTTTCTCACATTCACCAGTTCCCACGGAAATTAAGCTTGAGCTCTGTGCACAAGATTGCAGAAATCAGTATCGATGGTGAGTCAGTTTTTTCTACATTGTTTTGCTCAAGTGTGTTGCCTCTTGCCACAAGAATGGAGTGGGTTTTTTTCTACATTGTTTTGCTTAACTTAGTGGGAGCAAGAGCACATTCCAGAAGACATGAAAAAGGAGGCCAATAACCGAGCGTGAGCTTTATCTCGCACAGCTCGAAATATGCTTTTCTAAAGCAGGCCCCAATCAATTGCCGGCACCCACACCACGTCGCCTTTACCCCCGAATTTTCAACGGTGGAAATGGGAATGGGAACGGAGTTGAGGCAATGGCAGCCCGGGCCAGCATCCACTCACTGCTTTGCAAAAGCTGCCTCTTTATCCCTTCCATCTTTATTTGCTTTTGCATTAGCTTATTAGCCTCCTTTTACCTCCATTACTTCGTTCCCTTGGCCTCCCTTTTGCTTTCCCGTTTGGACACCATACTTGCTTGGCTTCTTCTCCTCTCCTCTCATCTCTGTGGTTTCGTTGGTGATTGGCTGTTGCTGCTGCTGCTCGGGATCAATGGGTACTCCTAGTCCTACCCCGTACCACCTCCAGTCTCCAAGGACCATCGTCACCAAGATCATCAGCATGAAGCAGCAGCAGCAGGAGCCGGCGACGCCGGATCCGCCGCCGCCGTCCAAGATCATTCTGCAGCCGAGGCGCCGGACCACCCCGGCGATGTGGTGCGCCGCCATCGCTGGTTTCGCCTTCAGCGTCCTCCTCATCCTCGCCGGCCTCGTCATCCTCATCGTCTATCTCTCGGTGAAGCCGAGGACGCCGTCCTTCGACATCGCCAACGCCGTCCTCAACACCGTCTACGTCGGCTCGCCGTCGTCCTACTTCAACGGCGACATGACGCTGGTGGCCAACATCTCCAACCCCAACCAAAAGATGGGCGTCGTCATCCAGTCCGGCACCGTCGAGCTCTTCTTCCGGGGCAGGCTGGTGTCGGTGCAGGCGCTGCCTCCGTTCGCGCAGCCGCGGGGCCACTTCACCGTCCTCAACGTCCACATGCTGTCCAGCCAGGTGGTGCTGCCGCCGGAGGTGGCTGCGGACCTGCTCAACCAGATGAGGAGCAACAAGATCCTCTACACCATCAGAGGGACCTTCAAGGTCCGGGAAAGGTTCTGGTCATGGCACTACACCTACCGGTTGACCGCCATTTGTGACCTCGAGCTCACCTCGCCACCCTCTGGAGTTCTTCTTGATAGGAGATGCACAACATCAAAGTGATTATTTGGTTTCTGGATCGATGCTCTTTCTTTTTTCTTCTTGTATCAAATTTTAGAGGAATTGGGTCAAGGCACATATAGCAAAGCAAACAGATCGACTAGTATGACTTAATTACTAGTGGCTTTCACATTCTTGTTTACTCGATCGGTAGCAGCCTTGCTCCTGGAGCCTCAAAGCTTCATGCAACATGTACAGCGGCAGGCAATGGTCGTATGTAGTACTTGTCTCAATATATATAGCTTGTATATCGTGAATCTCATATATGGTGAATAGAGAAAACTTTATTAACTTGTTGCAGACATACAGTATATGGTAGTGGCGCTGATTCTGATAGCCTTGGCGACTCTCCATGGCTCTCTCCGTTGCGAATGCCGCCTTGGGCCCTTTATGAAGGCTGGTACGAGCGCTCACACTCGTCTAAATTAGACGTTGTCTTCTCCTCAGTTTCCTCTATTATGCCTCCAGTTGATTTGGTTCGATATCCACACTTCATATTTCCGTATATGGCTTTATTTCCTTCCCTCAAGTGGTCCATTTCCTGCAAAAAAGAATTAAACATAGGGACTTGCAATTATTTGCATTTATTAGTCACTAGTGCACTCCTCTCCAGAAAGCCAAATAATTTTCTCAGAGATTGTCTTTTTCGAGCGCGGCGATCAGTATTAAAATTTTCATGTACACTCCTCTCGAGAAAGCTGAATAATATTTGTCGTAGCAGTGCTGCTACAGATGGTAACCAACTCGATAGCTGAAATCCAAGTCAAAACTCTGATAGATCATTCATAGGCCAGCGGAGTCGTCAACATAAACTCAAAGGGTTGACAAAGTCACTGTGATAGACATAAAGCAATATCTAGTGATAAGGCCATGAGACACGCGTAAAGCAATCATGTATGCACAACAAATCTTGGCATGTAATCATCTCAATCACATCCAAGTTAGTTCCTATGGACAAATCTACGCAAGCGCCATTGAGTGTACCAAATTAAATACTATGAAGTTCACCCAGAAAAAAATAGTATGAAGTTGAGTATGCTATACTAGCTTCTTTTTAAAACAAATTTACTCAGCAACCAAGTTTTTCTAGACACTTTCTCTTATACATTGTAATCTTGTTATCATTACTCTCTTTAAAAAACTAGTCAAAGATTTAAATATCAAATTGGACAATGGACTCTTGTGGTAACAGTAGTGCTAGTGGAGCCTTCATATGTTATTTGAGGGCAAAGAAGAAGAAAAGAAAGTGTGTTGACTTCGTTCCTATTAATAAAAGCTATGTATATTATAATCATGGGGAAAAGCTCTATATATCTGCCTACACATATGCTTAATGACTACAACAGGGGACCTCCTATGAGGCGCCTAGCGCCGCAGAAGCCGAATGGCGCTCACTACAGTGCACAGTTGGGCCAGCCAATGAATGTGTAATGCAGAGACTAATAAGCGTGAAAAAGGCACAAAACACAACTGAATCTCTCCATGATTCAAACTCGTGGCATTACCTTCATGGACTAGTTTGGCAAACCAGTAAACCTAGTCGACTTCAGTGACTGATAATAGCGCCAAGAAGATAAGAACAATGTGGCCGCACTATTTATTGCACAATCCGTCTACCTATCACTTAGTTTTTAAATTATTTGAAAAAAAGTTCACAAATTTGAATAAAAAGTTCATCAAAATTGAAAACAAATCATTGAATTTGAAAAAGTTCATCGATTTTGAAAAGGAGTTCAATAGATTTGAAAAAATATTCACCAAAATTGAAAAATGTTCATCAACTATGAAAAGGGTACATTGATTTTGAAAACAAAATGTCAAAATTGAAAAAAGTTCATTGAATTTGAAAACAAAATCATCAAACAAAAGTTTTTGCATTTTAAAAAAGAAAAAAGAAAAAATAAAAAAAGGAAAAAAAATATTAAAGAAAAAAGAATCTTAAGAAAGCAAAACCCAAAAATCAGTCCTGAAAAAAACAATAAAAAAACTGTCTGGAAGCTTCCCATAACCGGGAGCTTCCATGAACAGACAGAGTTATAGAAGAACAAAAAGGAAGTACATTACCATAACATGTGGAGTGACTGGTTGGTTAGTGTGAGTTAAACTTGACGACGAGGTTCCAAGTTTGATTCAGCTGTGAGCACATTTTTTGCGGTTTAACCAGGAAAACAAAATGTGAAATGGGTCGGCCCAGCGCTATGGTGGTGTGCTCCCAGGGGCAGAGCCAGGATTTGGATATGAGGGGGTCGAAGACGATGATCATCGTTAAAGAGAAAAAAAAAGTCTATAATGGGTTCGTCTATAGCGCGACTCATGCGGTGTTGTTCATATAACATCTGTAACAACGTCACTATTTCATGTTATGCTAGTAAATTAAAACAGTGTGGGGCCGGTCACACCACAAGAGACAACTTTGCGTGTTTCATCCATATTTTCTCCGTGATATGATGTCTTAATGCGACATTGATATCAAAACATAACAATGTATGCTGGCAGTTATAATATGTTATATTTCTCCTAGATTAATGTAGGGCAACGTCAGCCAATAACATCTAACTGAACTAAAAAAATGACATATCTAATTAGTAGTAAATACTCGATGCAAGCGAAGTAATAGAATCATTCTAGTAGATTATAATATGTAGATAAATATCGTCCTAGTAGGTCCAGAAAACCACATCAAACATAATTATAAAAAATAATGTCAAGAAATTAATCCATTGCACCTTTACAGAAATATACTAATTACGAAATAGGCTGTTATACGGTGAAAATCATACCAGTAGAATGTAAGCAATAAAGGCACTAATTACTTGTGTACCTTGAAGAATAAGGAATAAATAAAGAGATCCACTAAGTCTTGGAACCGAGACATAGGTCGAGCGCCATGGCTAGCACGGAATCGGATCCTCTAACATAGCAAAGAAAAGTCATTGTGCTACAATGCTAGCCTAGTGTAAAATGAAGAAGGAAAGTTAGGGACGGTTAGTAGATAGTTAGGAGGTTGTTTACTGTTGATATTTACTGTAGATATAAATAATTTAAAATAATTTTATTTCACCATCATTTTGTTTGTATGTAATTACTATAAATATACGCAGTAGATCATCAATTTGTAAATTAATTTAAGTCATTTTAACCTTAATCATGTGGATAGAAAAAAGGAAAGTTAGGGTACTATAGCTTCTCTAACTTTCCTTCTGAATGTTAGAGGATCCGGTTCCGGCTAGCACAACGACAGCGGCAAGCAACCAATTGATCAGTTGGTAGATCGATTCTATTGACGGCGGCGGCAAGGTTTTTGGGTCATGGTCCTTGTAATCTGTATGCGCAGACCCTATCGTCCGTAACTTTTTAATTTTCATGAGACCACGATAGCCTAAATGGCCTGGACATGGGATAGCTTAGTGGGCTCGAGTGTATACATCAGATTTTGGTCTGGGCTTAATTAAGTAACAAATTTGACTAAAAAAATTAAGTAACTAATTAGCAACGGCCCTGTGCGTGCCGGTTTGCGAATAACACTATTGCGGGGCCATCGGACGCCAAATAGGGGAGCAGCTAGAGGGAGTACTCGTTGTGTGGCTCCGGCAAGGGTCACTTTTAGTGGGTTGAGAGCGCGCAACTGGGCGTGTGCTGGGTGCTCCTTCGGGATTTTGCTTTTTATTTTTCTATGTGCATTTTCAGGTTTTAGATGATTTTTGCTTTTCTTTTTGCTTTTTGCTTTTCAGTTTTTGCCTGGTTTTTCTTAGGTTTTTGGACAAAAAATAAAAAAATGCATGAAAAATGAATTTTCTTTCTTTTTCGAGAGGTATGGATTTACTTCTCGTGGAGGCACAGATTTGCTTCCGCGAGAGATACAGTTGTGTCTCTCAGAAAAGGAAAAAACTGTGTTTGTTTTTTTCTACCATGAGAGGCACAGATTTACTTTTTGTAAATGCACATATTTGTGCCTTTCGAAAAAGAAAAAAATGCATTTTATGTTCTTCCACGAGAGACACAGATTTGCTTCTCTGAAGGCGTATATTTACTTTTACAAGAGGCACAGATGTGCCTCTTCTGAAAATGAGAAAAAAAGTGAAAAACTGGTTTCAGTTCTTTTTTGTCCAATTTTTCATGAAAAAAAGTTCTTAGAAATCTTGGGAGGTGGGATTTAATTTTAAAAATCTCGACGCAAGGAATCAAACGGTGAAAACGATTCCGGATTTGGACGCACGATTTAAGAGACCAAACATATTGAATAAACCTTGGGAGGTGGGAGTAACCTTTGCAAAGAGTACTCCTTAATTGGTGATTTTAGAAAAATAGAAAAATGCCCTACAACAGGCCTTTTGATTTATGTTTGATATTGGTGGACAACACTGATAAATGTTGGGCTAAGCCGGATAACGGGCCGAATGGGCCCATGGACAGAGCATTTCAAGAAGAAATTAAACTTTCTCTTTTGCTGAAGACAACACGGGTTTATTTCAGCTTGAACTTACTATTAACCCTACAAATCTTAAACATACTATGTATCTGAACACCCGAGATTTCATTTATATCATTTTAGTGTTCTATGAATAAAATTCTACGACTTTTGCATTTAATTTTTTATTCATCTAATGGCTAGTCAAGTCACAAGTGCACCTTTTTGTAAAGGATATATAGCCGTGAACTGGTATTCATATTTATTTATTCATATGTGTGTGTGTGTGTGGAGAGAGAGAGAGAGAGAGAGAGAGAGAGAGAGAGAGAGAGAGAGAGAGAGAGAGAGAGTCTCCAATGATCGCTGTACAGATGTTTCGGTGTCCTCGATTTGGTGAGCAGCCCCTATTTTTTCTCTTAGCTAAAGCTACTTATTTTACACAGACGTATGATGGTCGCCATGAGTATGCTTTCTCAAGAAGGGCGCTAATTAAGCTCCGGTGTCTTCGCTACCTGTTAAGCCATCAAGAGCTAAGCGCCTAAGCTAAATATAACTAACCCTCAGATATGTGCTCAACGATTGCAATGGAGAGCCT